TAATATCGTAAATCGCCTTAAATGTTTAAGTGATAGTTTTATTATAATTATAACAATTACAATGAAAATATTACAACATTAATGCCAAATTCACCATTCAGTTTGCATTTGTTTATGCATTATTTACGCATTTTGACATCACTTCCATATATTATCGTTTTGTATCGTTAAAATATATTCCATATCTCACTCAAACGAGAAAATCATTATCATATTGACATTGATATATAATGTTTTAACCGGTTTTTAAGGTATGTTAAACTAATTATGTGCTCATTTGTATTTAAATAATTCACTCTGTCAAGATCTATAAATATCTATTTTTGTTATTTTCTGTTTTTGTCTTTCAGACGTTAATTGCCGGGATAATTTATACAGGTTTATAGGAAGTTTTATCAGTGCCAACGAAACTCCAACGTAGAACAAATAGAAAATATTTTGTATTTCAATCTTTTGTTTTTAATTATATATATGTTGACCAATAAATGGTCTTGCTTTACGTTATATTGTTAATGATAGGTATGGCGAAAATCAAAATACCAAAGCATCTAGAAAGGATTTCAACATTATGAAATGTGAAGTTGAATTAATACTTTTAATTGTTGAGATAGCTTACAGCTGAGAATAATTTCAGCGTGACAACTGAACTTGGCATTGAGTTTAATGTTGTTTTATTTGTCTTGCGTTAATAATAGCTATTTAGAAAATTGAAGTACTATAATTTTCTTATACAAAATGCAACTTTATGAAATTTTTGCTTGAATCAAGGCTTTTAATTGTTAAAATAGTTGACAGCTGAGGCTAAATGTCTCCGTGACAATTGATCTGGCAATAAGTTTAATGATCATTTGACTGTTAAACCATTACAATTGAAAGTCGTAAGGCTTTTGTGTAAAAAAATGGTATCTACTGGAAAGCTGGTTCGATGGATTGACTGCCGTGAAATGTCAAAACATGTGTTGAATTAGGCGTAAAAGCAGATAAGCAAACAAATTATCCCGTGAAATTTAACAAAGTACAGTTCATGACATACCATTAAATACGTATCGAAATATAGATCATTGAATGATTTTGTTTATTTACCAATCAGTTATATACAAAGCATTTTATTATCAAAACATTATCATATTGCTTATTTGCATATTTTAAATAAATAAAAAAATAATTACAGAGCCATTAACCATTATAAAATGAAAATGAAACATGTATATCGGTATCAAGAGTGTTAAGCAGCACAGTCAGTTGTTTTCATTTATTTTATATGGAGGTTTGGAATACATTGTAAGGGCTTTTTTACTTCAGTGATAAATCAGTAAAAGAAAAGATCGAATAAAAAGCATGTGCATGGTGCATGCTGCAATTGTTTTTTACAAATATAAGATCCATGCCAGTTTGTTGCTAGCTTTTAAAGCATTTAGTTTTTGGCTACACAGGACCAGGACTTATATATCCAAAAGTTCTTGTATTGCATTTATGTAAATGTCACAGAAACATTGTAACTATTTCGATCAGGCATGTTTGCAGTACCTCAGCATCAATTGTCAAAGATATGTAGACATCTCCAAATTGTAATATGAAGAAAGATTTTGGGTAACATAAATGCAAAGATAATGACTTTTTTGTCACCATTTAAAGGTTTAGAAATGTATATACGTCTTAGCAGACCTAACAGGGTTATTGGCATAAAAGCTTAACATGCTTAAGAAAGTATTTTGTGTTTGTTTGTTAATTGGTTTGTACAAATTGTACATTGTTTAAACATAATTGAACGATTTAAGGCCAACAGTCAATCCTCATTATTTTAATGAATATATACTGCTTCTATGTTCAATAGAGAATATGCAGGTCGTGTAAGAACTATATATTGAAAATGTTGTGTGTTTATTTGATAATAATAATAAGTTTAAGCATGTGTGAACCATACAATGCCAACAGTCAATATGCCGAAATATGTTTGTGGCATGTATAATTTTAAGACTATCCTTGAAATTATATGTGAATAATAAATCAGCGTTTGCTATCAAAACAACTTTATTAGTATGACATTTTGTAGGTATTTGCGTTAGCACTGCACTAAAGCATATTTTTAACAGCCATAGATAACGATACAAAAGTTCAAATCTCAATTTTTCTTATCACATTCAGTACATTTACGCGTATTTGAATGAGTACAAATCCGTATCATTTATTGTTTTGATTCAACCATTAGAGTCACAATAAAGAATAAGGATTTTTGTTTGCATCATATGTTTTATAAGAAAAATTAAATTTCAGACTAAATCATAGTGGTGTTCTTTGTATAACGCCTTACAAAATAACGTTGTCATTCCGATAAAAATTGAAACCGACAGAAAAGAAATGTCACTATAATTATATAGCTTACAGTCTAGACATGTTGGATAAAAGGGAATGGTGGATATAGTTGCTGTAAATAGTTGTTAGTTGCGGTGACATGTTATATGCTTCTTATTTAGCAATGAACAATTAAACGACTGCAGAAAACATTGTTACACTTTGCATATTTTAATCATGAGGTCACAAAGTAATTCCGTTTGAATACCTATATGCATTTTGTCTTGACATAAATGATTAATATAGTTTTTCATGAATTGAGGATATACAACTAATCATGAATTGAGGATATACAGCATTAGTTGTAAAGACAAAATGACAGTTTCTAAATACATAGGTTTCCTTTAAAACAGGAAATGATATGTTGAACAGTCATAAGAGAAAAGACAAGCAGAGTGAGAAAAAGACAAATATTTAAGAATGCAATAAACCAGCTAATTTTATTAAATGTAAAGTTTTCAAATTGTTACAGAAATGTTAACTGTTTCATAGAGTTTACTTAAAAATATTGCATCCTTTAAGTGTATGATAAAAGAATCATAATAAAAGAAAAATGTTAGAACCACTATATCTGTTTTGAGTAAATGTCAGAAAAAGAATAGATAAATTTAGTAAAAACTGAATTCTAGTTATTTAGGCTATATGCAATTTGGTCTAAGATTTTCAATGTCTATTGCGTATAATTACTGAAATATTTTTAACATAGATATACACTTTCTTAAAGGACGTCAAACTTTATTAAACTTTAGCAACGTGTTATTTATAATTCCTGCCTCTTTATCAGTCTTGAGTTTTTGTGTAAAAAAGTTTTTGGCTCTTTGGCAATGTGACACTGCTAATTCTGTCAACCTCATACTACAAAAAATAGAGGACTTTCTTTGTACTTAATTTTGTATAAAAGATTATAAATCCAAATGTCTGTTGTGTATAATTCTTGTTTGGAACCGTTGTAACTTGGCACATTTTGTAATTCTTAATGCATTTCAAACAAATAAAACTCCATTCATTTTCACTAAAAGCTAAGTTAGTATTCTGTCCATTTTATGATACTTGTGGGCTTTGATTTGTGTCAATCCAATGTGTTATTGAAAGATTTTGCTCATTTATATCTGAAATAATATTTTTGAAAAACGGTACTTTTCTGTTGGATGTTATAGATTATATTACATTTCTTTACTGAAAAAAAAACATACATTTGAAAACTAAGATTGAACATTGTACGTAGAATGTATTTATAAATTCATAATAAGATATGAATGTTCCATCGTTCTATATTATGAACATCAAACCACGATTTTAAATACACGCCTTTTAAACCAATTAATAGATTATTGCTATGAAAAAAGGATGTTTTTCGAAAAGAAAAAATTCTGTTAGAATCATTTCTATGAAATTATAACTTGAACCTTGATAAGGCTCGAAAAGGGCTGCTTCTAAAAAAACTTTCTTTTTTTCCTTTGCAAGGTTTTTAGTTTGAACGTTTTGGTTTCCACGGTGACTTCTTTTCTTTTCCTTATCTATTTTGTCGTACGAAATTCTTTTCCAACTACCATTTGATATTATCAAAACATGTTATTTTTAATGCCATGAAAGGGGCAGAAATAGTTATGATTTGCACACCGCCCTCTGCATAGAGTTGTTTTTACAAAAACAGAATACTTAATTTTTACATTTCTTTCATAATAAAAACATAAATCATTTATCTAATAAACATATTATATTTCCAGATGGATTTGGTTGTGAAAGGAATAAATGATTAAGGGATGAAATAAAAAAGATTTTATAACAGCAATTTACCTATTATAATAGTATCGATTTTATTTTCTATTCTTTCGCGATAGTTTATAAATCTATATTTTTACATAAGTCAACTTGTAAATGTATGCCTAACATTTGAATTCGTTGTTGATTCCAAGACGATTTCAATCTTATCTTATACTTTGTTCTGAAATATTTCCCTATCCACACCATCTCAGTTTTATCAAAATAAACATTAACAAGAAAAGTGTGCAACGTCTGATAAGATTTTCAAAAATTTATTTGATGACTCACTTGATTGTCGTGTCATCTGCAAATTGATACAATTAATCTTCCACAATGTTAATGTTTATTCATTTAATGATTTTGTCATCTGTAATTCTTAGGCTTACAACTTTAGCACATGATAATAAAGATAAAACATGAAAGAGAATCTCCTTGTCGCCAGCCTCTACCTACTTTTACAAAATCGTAAAAAATATAATAAATCCTTTGCGATGTTGTAAAAATGTAAAGTTACATAAAATACCAGCAAATTAACAATTACAATTTTAAAATAAGATAAATAAATTTTAGCGGCGGAGCGAAAACTCGAATGAGCGGTGTTTCGAATAGATGTTTACATGAATAAACAGTTGAATAGGCATTTTATACTAAATAAACAAAGAATAAGAAAATTTAAAATTTCCATATTTTCATTGGACAAAATGGTAGGGCATATATTTGTATGTTTTCCATTTCTCTCTTGGTAAGAATACAATCAGTCGTATTATTCCAAAAATCCTTTCCTTTATCCTTTTCCAGTTTGAGCAAAAAGACTGAAAATTCTGTAAATTAATGCAATTTTTATGGCAAGTGTCAAGGTAAAAAAGATAAGATAAGAGAAACGGTTGTGTGATAAGAGATAGCCCATTTCGCTTTATTCTATATTTTATGCTTAGCCGAGCATTTTAATGACAATGACCGAAGATACCATGTGATTCACAGTTAAGAGTTGGAGCACACGGACACACCTCGTGCGTGTTTGTGTTCACATGAGAATGGTAACAGAACTCCCCTTGCTGTCTGAACGGTTTGCAAGCAATCTGATATGCTGGTTTTGGTCCAGTGTATTCTGGAATATATGCAAGACCCTGAAAAATAAAATATACTGTATCAATGATTTTATCACCTTAATTTTGAAAATGAAGTCTGCTTTAGCAGATGTTTAGGGCATAACAGAAAAAGCACTTTTAAAAGAAATCTCTCCTAAACAAACTCAATAAAACGAGTCTGTAATGCTCATCATAATTACTATACTGTTGTTAATTAATTCCGAAGGATCACATATTTCCAAATTAAATCTTGGCTATACATGACACAAGTGTTTTAAATTTAGGATATATAAAGAAATAAAGTTCATTTAGTTTGAATATATTTACCTCTTTAACACAGCATTTGCCGGTTGGGCATGTCGAGTCATCACCAGGGGTACAATTATCTACAATTTCTACTAAGGTGCCATTGATTGTCGTAAGGCTCCCATTTGTCGTGTGCTGTTTGAAGAAAAAAGTAAGTCACAAAAAACCTATTTATTAACTAACATAATAAGGATGAAGTTAATGAATAATTGATCTTAAATAGCTGCAAACATTATACATTGTAGGTTGGTCCAAACATTAGAATAAAATCATATTGATCTCACTGGTTGTGATATCATTTACTGGCTGAATTTCTCCAATGTTTATATATAATCAAATCATTTTTAATGACCATACAGCGAATACTATATATTATATTATGAGCGCGAGAATCATATCTACTTGATGTAGTATCATATTCACTGGATGAATTAGATTTTCCCTATTTAAAAAATGAATCAGATTTTTATTCAATATCCAAACAGCATAGACTATTAACAATGCATGTGGTTAAAAATCAATTGTTGCATTTTGTTCTTTTTTTTGGCATCTTTCTCGACTCCAATCAAGTATTTCACAATAATAGTTACAGGTGACGCCGAAGTGATAAGTTCATTGCTTACTTTTGTTTACGCATCGTTCCCATTAAATGTCTGACGTCATCTTTAAGGTGTGACATTTACCGCGATTGAATTATAACAATTTATCGCTTCTGTATGATTGATCATTATAAGGCTTCGCTTGTTGGGATATTTTAAATGTTTGGCTGATCATATCATAAAACAATTTTTGACTAATGATCCATTGACTAAAATTTATGTTGACCTCGGCTATGACATCAACATCATATTCAATGACTCACTCGTCTATAATTCCATTATATTCACCGACAAACATATTTATGTGACACTATTTATACATGTATCTGTCTGTATAACTGTATGTTTGAAATTAATGACTAAGCAATTGTAAGAAAACTTTCTTTCAATAGTAGAACAAAATGTAAAATGCCGTTAAATGTAAAAAAAATATGCACTTACTGTCAAAACAAGAAACACCTGCAATATAAATATAACTCGAGAAAACATGACTTTTTTGTACTATATCCAGTTTATCAATACTGTGTTCTAACTTATATACCGACTTCTTATCAGTTGCCAAATTAATGGTGCCATTAGGTCACAAATTGTATGACAAAAGTCATGAAATTGTAAAAATAGAAATACATCAATAAACCTTATTAAACAAACCATTGATCGACCTCTTATGTATTTCTTATCTTAGAAATAATAATACAAGCGTTATTCAATTTATAGCATGGTCTTTGTTACAGTATCAATTCTTTCAAAATTATGCGTTTATTTAGATAAATTATAATGAAGATGATATAATAAAATAATTCCTTTACATTGAGAATGATGAGTTTAAGTATATGAGTTTAGTTTTATAAAAGCAATAACACAAGTTTGAACATTACAAACATTTTAATGTAAAACTAATATTGTATTCCAATTAAAATGTCGTCATATTCTTAATTTAAGAAAATAAGTATAATATTGATAAGCAAGTTTGCGTACAAACTATCATGTTTATAGAATAAGTATTAACATGTTAGAATATCAAACAATGCAAAAGACGAACTTGCAGATTCCCTTCCCAAAGTATTCTATTGTCTAGTCGGTTAAGGTTTTGTTTTTTTCCGACTCGTATGAATATTTGATGTCTTTAAATATCGAATTTCCAATCCCCAGCTCAATCCCAAAGTCTGAAGGAGTTGTCATTGCATGTTTTGTCGTGTGAAAAAAAGGAATTGCATAAGCATTTTCTTTTTATTCTATTTTTGCATGTCGTAATCATATCACTGTCTGGTAATAAGTATAAGAAATATCGTTTATAAATCACATGCTTGTACTGATAATACTGTAAAAGCGGATAATCATTTGACAACCTCAAATTTTCGGTCCTTTTCACCCACATTCGGATGTTTTTTGTTTGTTAGGTTTTTACGTCCCACCAACAAAAAAAATACAATCTCTGTTTTTTTTTTTTTTTTTTTTTTTTTTTTTTTTTGCTTACATCTTAAGTCACGAACTATTTTGAATCTAAATTCAGTCCGAGATGATTGTGGATAATCGTGGAGGTGTTTCGGTGAGTCATTTGATAATGTTTTCTGCAAGAAAGTACAGATTTTTTAAAAATTATCTTAAATGCTCATATACAAAACTGACAATTTTAATTTTTGTGTCATCATAATAGTACAGTTTACTGAAAATATAATTAAAAAGAACGGGATTTTTCCTGAAAAGTTTAACTTATGTAAGATCATTAGATCAAGTACATGTATATGCTTTTAAAAAGAAAATGGATAATACTTACAACCTTTTATTTTTAAGAACTTTCTACCATTTCCCACCCTCTTACGGCTGAATTTGCTAAAATCAATAAAGTAAAATTAACGACAATTTCGAATCGAGGTTTTTCTTTTTTTTTTGGTATAATCATATTAAGAGTTTTTCTTCAGTACCTCTCGGGCATTTTCCTCATGTTCATTCTTTCATTCAGATGTCAAAATTAGGTCACGCATCTGAATTTCAAAGTGTTTTTAGAATCATGCAAGAGACATGTGATTATCTGGCATCTATATGTTTTTGATCATCTGACCACGAAGTGGTCAAGGTGAGCTATAGTGATGGGGCTATGTCCGGCGTCCGTCGTCGTGCGTCGTGCATCGTTCGTCGTCAACAATTGGGTTGTTGACAGTCTAGCAGTCACAGTTTTGATTGGATCATTGTCAAAATTTGTCATAATGTTTGTCTCAATGAAATACAAATCGAGTTCGAAGATGGGTATCTCGAGTCAAAAACTAGGTCACAGGAGCTAAAAATAGAAAAAGCTTGTTAACACTCTAGTGGCTGCAGTTTTGATCCAAATATTCTGGAAATTTGTCAGGAAGGTTGTTTTGATGATTTCTAGGTCAAGTTCGAAGATGGGTCATCTCCGGTCAAAAACTAGGTCACAGGAGCTAAAAATAGAAAAAGCTTGTTAACACTCTAGTGGCTGCAGTTTTGATCCAAATATTCTGGAAATTTGTCAGGAAGGTTGTTTTGATGATTTCTAGGTCAAGTTCAAAGATGGGTCATCTCCGGTCAAAAACTAGGTCACAGGAGCTAAAAATAGAAAAAGCTTGTTAACACTCTAGTGGCTGCAGTTTTGATCCAAATATTCTGGAAATTTGTCAGGAAGGTTGTTTTGATGATTTCTAGGTCAAGTTCGAAGATGGGTCATCTCCGGTCAAAAACTAGGTCACAGGAGCTAAAAATAGAAAAAGCTTGTTAACACTCTAGTGGCTGCAGTTTTGATCCAAATCTTCTGGAAATTTGTCAGGAAGGTTGTTCTGATGATTAGATGGGTCATCTCCAGTCAAAAACTAGGTCACAGAAGCTAAAAATAGAAAAATCTTTTTAACACTCTAGTGGCTGCAGTTTTGATCCAAATATCCTGGAAATTTGTCAGGAAGGTTGTTTTGATGATTTCTAGGTCAAGTTTGAATATGGGTCGTCTCCAGTCAAAAATTAGGTCACATTGCCCAAATATGGAAAACCTTTTTAACACACTAGAGGTCACATTTTTGACTCAATTGTCATCAAACTTGGCCAGGATGCTTGTCTAAGACATTGCTTTGATGCGGTTGATGGGTCAGGGGAGCGATCCAGGGCCATCATGGCCCCCTATTGTCTCTGAATAACAGCAGAATATTTTCTACCGGGCTTGCGTGCATATTCAACCAACTCGTGTCCGTAACTTTATTGAAGCATCCGCACATCACACTTCACAGTCTCTGCATAAACTTAACATTTAATTATAAGTATTAAAAGGACAAACATATTGCTTAAGTTTTCATGAAATTCTGTATTTAACATTACAAACAGTACGTTTACCAGCCTTACGAGTAAAATTTAGATACAATTCTTGCCCTTTACTGATGCCACATGAACGTGCAATGTTAGGTATAAAAGGAAATATGTGAAATACATAAAGGATAGAGTGATATCATTTTTGGATGTAAAAATATATGAGAGAGGTTACTTATCTCTGGAGATAAAATAAAAATAAGAGATTAAAAAGGAAATGCATGTCTGACAACCATATAATAAAAGAACAGTTTTGACTTATAAAATGATACAACTGAGTTCAAGATAAACATTTTTCATTGCATTGCTATTCGAAAAAAATGCCTGGAGTCATTGTACAAATTCTGAAAACGATTAATTCAAACATTCATAGGACAGTTTTGTCAAGTATTCAGAAATTCGAACAATTCTTATTTATAAACCCTTTCATAAAAATGGAGATTTTAAGTTCGATTTAAAAAAAAGTGACCAGGTTATTAGAAAAATTGGTGTTCATGGCAAACAATGAAAACTTTTTAATAAAACTGACAAAACCTGACTTCTTTGGTAAAATTGCCAATCCTTGTTCTAAAATGAATATGAGACGGCTTAATGAGTTTCTTTTATGTTTTCATGCCTTAAACTGTAAAGTACAATACCAGTAAATTATCACACACAAAACATAACGGAAAAAATACACTGATATTACAAATATCTAAGATTTTCATATCCACTTTCATTAAGTATCAGAAATATGACGTCCACAAATTATCATTTAAATCATGACTAAGTACTTATGCACTCATTTAATATTCAGTTGTTTTGTATAAACACTTTTGCCGACTTTTTTTCAAATTTAAAATGTTATCCTTTTCATGTTTACATGTTGACATCTGCCTAAGCTGGTGCCAAGGATAAAGACAATTTAACTTATATTCACCACTATTTTACAGCTGAATAAAACATTTTCAGTTCTACCGTTTTGGATGTTAAGGATATGTTTTCTTGTCTTTATCACATTTTATTTTTGTTTTTTGTTGTTTTTGTTGTTGTTTTTTGTGTTTTTTTTTCATGACACATATATCATTTTTGTATGAATTACGCCTATAGAAGAAGAAAAAACAGGCAATTAAGAAAATTAAACTGTATAATTTATATTATTACTATCTGAACTGTTTTAATTTGTTAAATCTATTTTTAAACGACGTACGCTAACGAGTTTAATTATTAAATACTAAATTAAAATATTTCTTGTTTATTTATCTAGCTTATATGATATGTTTTCATATTCATCTAGGCGTATTTCTTATGAAATAATTGCGCAATCTTCTGATACATTCACTTTAGTTTTTTATATACTCTAGCTATTGCCACAAGTATTTTGGAACTAAATATAACCTCACTTTTCGGTGACAATTTGACATCTAAAAAAGAAGCTTGATTAAAGATGGAAATCGTCATGTTTCTCAAAGGGGCTCCGCTAAGGTTTTTAGAAATAACAGAACTTGATATAATTTTAGAGATAAACGTTCCATTAGATGTAGGTCTCTACCATTAGTATGTGTGCAAAAAATCAGATCATTTGCCTACTCCATTTTTCCAGAATAATTATTGTGATCGCGAAGAATAAACCAAAATTAGGAAACGTGCAAAGCTTTTCAATTAAATTGGGCTATAAAGCTGTACAAAATAAAATTTAATTTAGAATAATTTATATTTATAAATTATCTAGTTCATATCTGTCTGTTTTAAGTGTTTCAACTGATTTATGTAGGAAATTCAAACTTATACGTTTTGTGACTTTTGGACCTCAGTGCTATATTCGTTTTTATTTATCTATTTTTAGCAATGTATTCAAGAACTTTAATAAATCAAGTAGACGTTTCCGTTAGTAGACACATTGTCATGACAACAAGTTTATGGATTCATGTTTCATTAAATGATACGAAAGCAAACTAATATATTTATTGTTGATTTCTACCTTGCACTGTGCTTATGTTTTCACTTAGCAGTATTGAAAAAGAAAATTCTCAATTCAGTAAATAATAATTAAATATTTATCAATCTACTAGTGTAATATCAATACATTGGGATTTTTCTATAACTTCATTTTCAGCTTAGCTTTTTTATTTTTTCTATCGCTAAGCTTCTAAATGTCTTCTACCGCTTCTTTAAAGTTTTTCAATAGCTTCGTTTCCTTATTTCTTCCACCTTTGAGATTTTTAAAGTTATTCTATGGCTAAGCCTTCTAACTTTGTGTACCGCTTAGCTTGTGTTTCTGTCGCTGACCATAATTTCTTCTACTGCTAAGCATTTTAAAGATTTAAATTTTCTATCAATGAGCTTCTAAATATTATCCATCGTTTGGGTTTTTTAAAGTTATTCTTTCGCCGAGCTTCTATATTAATTCTACCACGTACACTTCACTTTTTAAAATATTTCTTTAACTCTTTAGCCAATATCGATGAAACTATACAGGAATGATCCTTGGATGTCCCCTCAAAGATTTTCCCAGATAAATCCGGTTTGCTGAACAAAAAAGATGCCAAAGCTAAAAAAATCACTTAAAGAACATCTTCTCCTTAACTATTGGGTCGATTTTGATGTAATTAAAAAACATTATTGGTGGTTGAGTGGACATTTATAAAATGCATTAATTGTCTGCTGTGTATATGTGCGTGCGCGTACGCGCGTGTGTGTGTGGAATTACTATTCCAAGAACATGGGCATCGGTTATGAATCATTTAGTAGCAAACATCTAGAAATAGTTTAAACATTATGATAATTTGGTAAAAATTAACAAACTTAATGTGGCCACATTTCTTAAATCATGACCTTTTTTAGCAATGTTTTCTATTGCTGAGCTTCTTAATCTTCTACCGCTAAGCTTTGTAAGTTTTTCTACCGCTTAGCTTCTTTATTTATTCAAACGCTTAACTTCTTGTTTTAAACGCATACTTAGTAAATATTCTATATTGCCTAGTATTTTGTTCCACACAGTTTTTGTCGGACTGACTGTTCTTCAAATGAGTCATTTGCTCTTGTTACAGATCAAATAACGGTAAACGTATGATTGTCATCTACACATAAAAAGCAAAGGCATTGGCGGGCATAATTCCAAGAGAATCAAGTGAGATACTATCGGTCGTCTTAAATGATTGTTCGATAGGTTTTTTAACAACTTACCGCACCAGTAAGGATTTTGGAAGTTAAAATAGAATCTCGTGTTTTGTCAGGCTCGGAAAAGGCTACTACTGTTCGCGCTTTTTAGGAAATATGAAAACCATGATAAACAAGAAAGAGTGGTTTTCAATGAACAAATCCCCAAACACATGACCATTGGCAAGGAGCACTGAAACGCTATCTCTTGCTTTTTTATAGTAAGTAAACTTTCAAATATCAAGTTTTTTGTAATGGGAACAAAATACCATTTGTATTACATAAATTTAATTATGATACATAATTATATTGAACACTGCACATTTCACATATAGGAATTTTATTTTACAACATTTAAGTGCCTTAAAAAATTGACCTTTTCTCCAAAGGTAAAAACGTATTTATTTCTATGGATTAATATTCCATAAATGTCTGGGTTTTTTTATTTGATAATGTGCAGACGACATATTTCAGATGTTATGTGAGTCAGACTTAGAATACGACAGTCTCAAAGATTTATATCGCTGTTTTTCTCGGTTATATTAAGTGCCTGATAATTTACTTGTATTACATGTATTTTACTTTCAGGTCAGGAAATACAACTGCAAGAATTCCTCACCAGCACCTGAAAGTGTGCCATATTTACATTTATTCATATTACATTAAGACCAAGGAATGGTAAATGCATAAGAATTATATTATGAATGTGTATAATGTGTATGATTTCAAATGGCACAACTGAAGTTGTTGCAAACTGTAAAATATCATTCATTACATTTCTTTTGAAATAAAACATGATTTCTTTTAATAATCTTGACGATGTTTGGGGAAAAGATAATACATGCAATTTAACAGGATGAACAAAACGCCATGATTTGTTTCATAAATAATGTTCTATTTTATTTCAGAGTACTTGATACCAGAATAAGATTCAGTATAATGATTACACCGACATGCTATTTATTGTCTTCACTAATCTATGCATATTTACAACTTGCAGAATTACATCACACATTTTTAACATTAATAAAATGATATTCTCGAACTCAATTGAACCAGATATAGTACATGTATATAAATACATGCTTTGTATTCTTGTCAGACACACATTTCCTTGAAAGGTTTCATCTCCCATCTATACAATATTTTTTTCGGCGAAGAGAAACCCTCATTATGTATACTGCAAACATATCAAATGCAAGCCTAGGCAATCCTGTATTAATATATTGTGCATTTTTTCATGCTCTTATTAGGTTTCTTGCTTGTAAGTTCAGGTGGTATTAAGACAGGGTAAAAAGCGCAACTTGCAAATACTGTTTTCAGTCAGAGACAAAAAAATTTCAAACAGTAAACAAGTCTACTAAGCAAATGGCGATCTTGCATTAATGTTGTTCCTGAAATTAAAGTATGAGCTAAACAACAAACACTGGTGGCATAGGTTAAATTTCCAAGGTCGATATTTGAAATGTATATCATAGAATAAACGGCGTTGACAACCTCTAATAGTGAATGTATAAAATCGTGAAACGACAATTTGCAGACGGCTGCAATTTCAAAGTTACAGGTGTAAATGTTTTCGGAATAGATATATGAATATCCTTGTGGAATTCAACAGGAATATCATGTTTTTCTTCTCTCTGTTTTATTAGAAGTTAAAACATACGATTGTAATAATGTTTCATTTGAATTTCATGTCATTAGAAAGAATGGTTAACCGTATTACAATCTGATATCTACATAGGAAATAAATAATTATCAAATGACTCGTTCTTTCTTTGTGGAGGATAGACTTAATGAAAAGTTTAATTTCCCAGAATAACCGTTGTAGAAAGTTGTATATACCATATCAAAATTGTAGAATGTATGTTCTTGTCTTTTGTAGTTTAAAACAAGTTAAGTTAAATTTTGAAATAACCATTTTAAAAGCCTTCCATCCCTGACAAACTTATTGTAGTTGTTTTAAGTCTGAGAAAGGTGGTTGGTATATTAAACTCCAGTCTTTTGTTTATTAGAATAGTGGTAAAAATAACAATAATTTGTTTTGTTTGGTTTTTATGGAGGTGAATATCCGCCAACAGTGTATGTATGTTGATGACATGTTTATATATGAATGTTATTAATCAATGTATGTTGATTGCATTCTTATTTATACATATTAGATTTGTCAATCTTCTGTGTATATTGATTTACATGTACATGCAGGTATGCAAAATTTCGTATGTAGGTATGCCAATGTACGCAACAGTTATGAAATAGAGAAAAACAGACTCCCTAAAGAAAGCCAAACGTGGCAAAATTGAAAATGTTGCAGACTCGGTTTGATTAAGCCTGTTCGTGGAAAGCACTGGAAGATTCGAATATTTTCTATTCTTTCACGATAATTTAAATCTTATACTATATTTTCTAAAGTCAACTTGAAAATTCATGCCAAACATTTTAATTGTTTTGAAAATATTTTCCCTATCAACACAATCTTAGTTTTATCGAAATTAACATTAAGTGAAGATAACTGTGCAAAATCTGACAAGATTTTCAAAGATTTATTTGATGATTCACTTGATAGGTCTAAAATCATTGTCGTGTCATCTGCAAAATGTGACAATTAATGTTCCACAAAGTTAATGTTATTCCTTTAATAATTGTGTCATCTGTAATTCTTAGGCCTAGAACTTTAGCATACATCATGAAGATAAAAAATGACAGAGACTCTCCTTGTCGGCAGCCTCTACCTATTTTTACAAGTCCGTAAAAAACATATAATTGCTTTGAGATGTTGTAAAAATGCATAGATACATAAAATACCAGCAAATTAAAAATTACAATTTTAGAATAAGATGATAAGAAACCTGATGAATGAAGTTAAGGGGCGGGACTTAAACTCCCATGAGCGGTGTTTTAAATAGACTTTTACATGAATAAACAGTTAAACAGGCATTTTATACTAAATAAACAGTGTTAGAAAATTTAAAATTTTCATATTTTTATTGGACGAAAAAGTAGGGCTAGGATTAATTTATATTTGTATGTTTTGCATTAATTTCTTGGTCAGAATAAAACATGCCCTATAATTCCAAAAATCCTTTCCTTTATCCTTTTCCAGTTTGAGCAAGGAGACTAAAAATTCTTTAAATTTATGCAATTTTTATGGCGAAAGTCAGGGTAAAAAGATAAGATAACAGAAACTCTATTTGCAAAGAGTCCGTTTAGCTTTATTGAATATTTTATGCTAAGCCGAGCACTTCAGTGACATTGACCAAAGATACCATGTGATTCACAGTTAAGTGTAGGGGCACATGGACAGACCTCGTGCAAGATTGTGCTCACATTACGATGATAACAGAACTCCCCTTGCTGTCTGAACGGTTTGCAAGCAATCTGGTATGTTGGTTTTGGTCCAGTGTATTCAGGAAGATATCCAAGACCCTGAAAAGAAAAACTGTATCATTGAACTCATCACCTTAATTTTGAATAATGAAGACAGCTTTAAAAGGTGTTTGGGGGGATAAGAGATGATGCACTTTTACAAAATATCTCAATGACATTAAACAGACTCAATACAACAGGTCTGCAATGTTCATAATTATAAAACTGTTGTTGATTGCTTACGAGGGATCACACACTTACAAATTAAATCTTGGCTATACATTACGCAAGTGTTTTAAATTTAGAATAGATAAAGAAATCATAAAGAAATAAATTTAATTAAGTTTGAATATTTACTTTTTTAACACAGCATTTTCCGGTTGGGCATGTCGAATCATCACCAGGGGTACAATTATCTACAATTTCTACGAGCGTGCCATTTATTGTCGTAAGGCTCCCAGATGTTGTGTGCTGTTTGAAGAAAAAAAGGTTATTTACAAGAGTACATAACTATTAACTAAAATAATAAGTTTAAAACTAATGACTGTTTATTCTAAAAATAGCTGCAATCTTATTGGTCCAAACAATAGTAGAAAATCATATTTATTCACTGGTAACAGTAGTATAAAATCATATTGATTTCACTGGTTGTGATATCATATTCATTGGCTGAATTTCTCCAATGTTAAAATATCATCAGGTCATTATTTAATGACCATACAGCAAAGACTATAAATTACGCGTAAATTATATTTACTTGGTGTAGTATCATATTCACTTGGTGAATTGGATTTTCCCTTAAACAAAAATGAATCAGAATTGCATTCAATTTCCAGACAGCATAGACTATTAACTACACATGTGGATAAAAATCAATTGTTGCATTTTATTCTTTTTTTGGCATATTTCCCGACTCCAATCGAAGTATTTCACAATCATAGTTACAGGTGACACCGTTTTGAGAAGTTCATTGCTTACTTTTGTTTACGTATCATTCCCATTAAATGTCTGACTTCATCTTTAAGGGGTGAACTTTTCCTGCGCTTGAATTATTACAATGCAATGCTTCTGTTTGGTAAACCCTTATAAGGCTTCACTTGTTGGGATATTTTGAATGTTAGGCTGATCATATCATAAAACAATTATCGAATAATGATCCATCGACTATAATGTGATATTCACCCGTAAAATTAAGTATGTTGACCTCGGCTATGACATTAACTGGTGAATTTTACATCATATACAATGTCTTACTCGTCTATAATTGTATAATATTTACCGGCAAACTTGTTTCCGTAATGTCCACTTTCAAGGGAATATCATATTAATGTGACACTATTAATAACTGTCTGTATTACCGTTCATTTGAAAGTAATGACTCCGCAATTATAAAAAGACTTTTTTTAAAATGAAAAATGCCGTTAAATGTAAAAAGATGCACTTACTGTCAATACAAGAAGCGCCTGTAAAATAAATAATATAACGCGAGAAAACATGACTTTTTTGTACTATATCCAGTTTATCAATACTGCGTTCTTACTTATATACCGACTTCTTATCAGTTGCCAACTTAATGGTGACATTAGGTCACAAATTTTATGACAAAAGTCATGAAATTGTAAAAATAGAAATACATCAATAAACCTTATTAAAGTAACATTAAATAAATACGTAAAAATAGTTTGCATTCGGTCTAAAAACAAAGCATTCTACAGTTTCATAAACCTTTTTAACAGTATTGTTGTAAATCTCATCAAAACTTGTTCATAAATTACGATTTTTAACGGAAAACCCCACGGTAACACTAAAGTTCGGATGCGAATTTTAACATGCAAATGAAGACTATAGTCAGCTTGTGTATGCGCTACGTCACAGTGTTATAGCTGCTATCCGGAACACAGCAAATATAAGATTTTCATGTGCAAAGACACTTTCACCGTTTTAGCTTCACGGTGCATTAGGCATACCATAAAAAAGATTGAATTTGTATGAAAACATCCGTTACAAATGCGGAAATATACCGTTAAATTAGGACTGCTACTTGTAGTCATGTTTGTTGATATAATATTGATGTACGGATGATCCGAAGGCGGAGTTTCTCATGCAAACAGAAATTGAACTTCCGATTTCGCCACAATAAGGTTGCAGATTTTTATGCTTATAAAACTCATTTTGGTTGTCTAGACACCAAAATAAGATATGGAGTCGACATGAAACCCCATCTATTAATGAAATGTTGCTTTTTCTGTTATTATGAAATTTATTAAATGTAGCTTTAAACAAACCATTGATCAACCTCTTATGTATTTCTAATCTTATAAATAATAATACAAGCGTTATTCAATTTATAGCAAGGTTTTTGTTAGAGTATCAATTCTTTTAAAATTATGCGTTTATTTAATATAATGAATACGATATATTATAATATTTCCTTTACCTTGAGAGCGATGACTTCATGCCTATGAGTTAAGTTTGATAACAGCAGTAACACAAGTTTGAACGAAGACATTTGCTATTGTTGATATCATTTCAAGAAATAAATGTCATTACAAACATAATAATGTAAAAATAAGATTTTATTCCAATTGAAATGTCGTCATATTCTTAATTCAAGAAAATAAGTATTATATTAATAAGCAAGTTTGCGTACAAACTATCATGTTTATAGAATAAGAATTAACATGTTAGAATATCAAACGACGCAAAAGACGAACTGGCAGATATTCCCGTTCATAGTATTCTATTGTCTAGTCGGTTGATTTTTTGGTGTTTTTTTCCTGATTTTCCTGCGAATATATGTGATCTCTTTTAATATCGAATATCCAATCCCCTGCTCAATCCCAAAGTCTGAAGGAGTTGCCATTGCATGTTTTGCCGCGTGAAAAAAGGGATTGCATTTATTAAGCATTTTTTTATTCTATTTTTGCATGTCGTAATCATATCACTGTCTGGTAATAAGTATAAGAAATATTGTTTATAAATCACATGCTTGTACTGATTACACTGCCAAAGCGGATAAAACCAATACGATTGAAAGTCGTAAGGCTCTTGTGGAAAAAATGGTAACTACTGGAAAGCTGGTTAGGTGGATTGACTGCCGAGTAATGTCAAAACATGTGTTGAATTAGGCGTAAAAGCAGATAAGCAAACAAATCATCCCGTGAAATTTAACAAAGTACAGTTTATGACATAACATTGAATAGGTATCGAAATATCATAGAAACATATGCAAATCATTGAATGATTTTGTTTATTTACCAATCAGTTATATTCAAAGCATTTTATTATTAGAACATTATCATATTGCTTTTTTGCATATTTTAAATAAATAAATAATTACAAAACCTTTAACCATTATGAAATGAAAATAAAACATGTATATCGGTATCAAGAGTGTTAAGTAGCACAGTCAGTTGTTCTCATTTATTTTATATAGAGGTTTGGAATACATTGTAAGGGCTTTTCCTTCAGTGATAAATAAGTAAAAGAAAAGATCAAATAAAAAGCATGTGCATGGTGCTTGCAGCAATTGTCTTTTACCAGTATTAGATCCATGTCAGTTTGTCGCTAGCTTTTAAAGCTTTTAGTTAATGGCTACTCAGGACTAGGAATTATATATCTGAAAGTTCTTGTATCGCATTTATGTAAATGTCACAGAAACAAGGTGCCATTTTAATTTCTTTTTCTATCATTGTAACTATTTAGATGAGGCATGTTTGCAGAACCTCAGCATCAAACCCAATACATATTGTCAAAGATATGTAGACATCTCCGAATTGCAATATGAAGAAAGATTTTGGGTAACATAAATGCAAAGATAATGACATTTTTTCACCATTTAAAGATTTAAAAATGTATATACGTCTTAGCAGACCTAACACGTTTATTGCCATAAAAGCTTAACATGCTTAAGAAAGTATTTTGTGTCTGTTTGTTTATTGGTTTGATCATATAAATTGCGTTTTATTTGTTTGTATAAATTGTACATTGTGTAAAATAAATGAATGTTTGAAGGCCAACAGTCAATCAATGTGTCTTTGTTTTATTTATAACATATAATTTCATGGCAATTCGTTACAAAAGGATACGTGACAAATCACCGTTTGCTATCAAAAACAATTCGTAAGTTTTACACGTGTAGGTATTTGTCTTATTACGTTAAGCACATTCATGTAAATTTTAATTTTTGTGTTTGTTTATACAAATCGTTTTTTATTTAAGAAAAAATATGCCCCAAACAGTGATAATATTGCTAAATAAAACAACTGTTAGGAGTTCGTATGCGAACAATTATATCACCAAGGCTTAGCTTGAGTGATACAATACTGGGCTTCTGATAACCGAAGTTTTAATTGTATTTAGCTATTGATACAGTTTTTCGATTCTAACACAATAATAATCTGCCGCACCTGAAATATCAAGCTTAATTGTCCTGATTTGTTTCCGTACTTCTTTTCAGTTAATGGTTACGTCAGGTGTCTTATCATAGATCGTTGATATTATTTAAATGCATATATACGCACGCCTTTGTTGCTTCTATATTCAATAGGGAAAATGCAAGTCGTGTTAGAACTATTTATTACCCCTCACTTGTTTCGTAATGCTAATTTGCCATAGGCCTCTGGGAGTTATTTTTACTGTTACTGCAAGTGTACCACGTGACTAAGAATTTTGTACTGTTTCATAGGTAAAAGTATTTTTAACAGTATAAAATCTGGTCACGTGGTCTATTTTCTAATTAAAATGAAATAAAATGGCCGCCATTTTTTCTCGATTCATTCTTATTTTCGACGTTAAACCCCGACAGGACATCAATTTCTTCTCAGGAGTACCTATGACACTCATAAAATTTAGTTGTTCACACCCTGGTGTGCTTTTCGCGATAAAATATCTTTTTGTTGAATAGTCAAAAAGTGAACATCCATTTTTACATTGTTTTAACGGAAGTAATTGCAATGTAAATAATCATGTTTCAAACTGGAACATGCAGACGATTTAAACATGCAACAAAGGATTATTTAACAATTATAATCAGTGACACGTTACAGATATGGTGGACAGACATAGGATATCATCGTTATTTTGTCAAAAACCATGATAAGAATATTCTGGAAACAGAAGGATCAGATTTCACAGATCATAACCGTGTAAATGGGTTAGTGTTTTGTTTTCTAAATAAAACCTAGCTTATTGTATGTTTATGATTTGTAGATATCATCACTTGCTTAAAGAATGAAAGAAAAAGAAAACTTCTCAAGTAGGCCTAAAGTACACTTAAAACTTAAAAGGTAAGGACAGTTTAGTTACACAGTTTTACAGTTTGTTACTTTTGGTTTATTTTTGTTACAATTAGATTTAGTTGACAATTTCAGATCATCACAGTAGTTTTGTTCGGGGTAATAAAATAAATAACACATGGGTTTGTGAGTAACAGTAAAAATATCATCCCTCGTAAAAATACTGTTACTCTCGGCTACGCCTCGGGTAACAGTATTTTCCTCGGGATGATATTTTTTACTGTTACCCACAAACCCATGTGTTATTTATATAATATTGAATAAATGTGTTTTTGTTTGTTTAATAATATACAAATTGCATTGTGTTTGTTTAAACATGTGTGTACAGTCAATCCGCCGAGATATGTTTGTTTCATGTATAATTTTAAGACCATCATTGAGATGATATGTTAATGATAAACCAGCGTTTGCTATCAAAACAACTTTATTAGTATGAGATTTTGTAGGTATTTGCCTTTAAACTGCACTAAAGCATCTTTTAACAACCAAAGATAAAGATGCAAAAGTTCAAATCTCTATTTTTCTTATCACATTCAGTACATGTACGCGGACTTTAATGAGTACAAATCCGGATCATTTATTGTTTTGGTTCAACCATTAGAGGCACAATAAAGAATAAGGATTTTTGTTTGCATCATATGTTTTATAAGAAAAATTAAATTTCAGACTAAAACAGAGTGGTTATCTTTGTACAACGCCTTACAAAATACCGTTGTCTTTCCGATTTAAATTGAGACCGACAGAAAAGAAATGTCCCTATAATTATATACCTTACAGTCTAGACATGTTGGATAAAAGAGAATGTTGGATATAGTTCCTGTAAATAGTTGTTATTGGTTGCGATATGTTTAGCAATGAAAAATAAGATGACTGCAGAAAACGTTGTAATACTTTGCATATTTTAATAATGAGGTCACAAATAATTCCATTTGAATACATGCATTTACGTCTTTACATAAATGTTTAATGAAGTTTTACATGAATTGAGGATATACAACATTTCTAAAGACAAAATGACAGTTTCTAAATACATAGGTTTCCTTTAAAACAGTAAATGATATGTTGAACAGTCATAAGAGAAATGACGAAGAGCGTGAGAAAAAGAATATTGTTACAGTTATTAAAGAATACAATAAACCAGCTAATTTTATTACAGGTAAAATTTTCAAATTGTTACAGGAATGAAAAATGTTTCATAGAATTTACTTAAAAATATTGCACCCTTCTAGAGTATGATAAAGAAAAAATTAATTAACTTTAAGCAAGC